TAACAGAGCGAAACTGTGAGATAGCAATTTAACTTCCCTATTCGCAAGTACAAAACTTATATGGACTATTTTGAACACAACACAGTATAAAGAAGCTTTATGGGTTTAACAAGGAATGAAGAGTTCAGAAGGGTAACACCTAGGGATTTTACCTGGCTTAGCGTCCGTCACTCCTGGAATACACACAAGATACTCTGGGCGTGTGCAGGCAATTTCACAGAAACGAAATTGAAGCAAACACTTGTGACTATACTGGAGTTTCCCTGCCCAAGAAATACACAATTACATAATAAATAGATTAATCTTAAAAGAAAACTAACTGAACTACCTGTTCATCAGTTAGTATAGTTAATGTATTAAACCAGGACAGTAGGTCAAAAAAGTTACACTAAAATGCTAAAAAGACAACAAACTTATTAAAAGTACAGTTTAGGAGACCACATTTCAAATTCATCGTAAAAGACACTCCCACAAAATATGTGCTCTCCTGTACATTTTTTTCTTCTGATTGCACTCTAAATGTAACTTTTTCTTTAAATTTAGGATGACCGATGGTTTCTTGTTTCTCTACCCACCCAACGTGGAATTGTCTGTTGTGTCTCTACTTGCAGTGCCAACAGCAGCACCCACAAGCAGAGAACGAAGATGTGCAGACAGGCTCCCCCAACCTGTGCACACATCCAGTTAATCTTTTTGTTCTGCAGGGAAGTGCAAGAGGCTCACTGCCAAACCTGTCGCTGCAGTCCTGCGGGCACCTTGGCAAAGAACAAGGGTCACTGTGAAGCCAAGAGAGCCTTGGCCAATTACTTATAACCCCTGCCAAGGAAGTCCGGTCACGTTCGACTAGTGACGTGACCCAGGCTCCCATCCACACTGTCTGGGTCATACAGCTCAACCTGCTCTAAACAAGTGCCTCCCGGCCCTGATCTGGCACATTAGTTCATAATGAAGAGAATCCTTTAACTCGCTCACTTCCCTGTCCAATAACCGCAAAAGGTATAAGATCCACCTTAAAGCAAATTAACCAATTAATCGATTGCCAGCACGCGGCCTGACCTTTTTCTTCTTTTTCTTGACCATTTTTCTTCTTCTTGTCACAGACTGCGAAGTACTGACAGTTGTCACTTATTCCCAGGCTGCTAGGCCACAAGGGGGCGTACAGCCTCCTCTGGTTCAGTTTGTGTGATAAGTCTTCTTGTCCAGAAATCTGAAACACAAAAGAATTGATCAAAATTCAAATGAAATCAATGCTAAGTTCTACGGTCAGAGACCATGTGTTTTTCAGCTCCTGTAAAGTAATGTTAGATTTTTATCTAGCAATGACGTCTTCAGTCTCCAAGCAGCAGCATCAATTCTTTTTTATGCCAGTAGGAGAATGACTGAGACTAGTCAGCCAGGGCTCTCGGAGCCACTAATGAAACAGGGACCCCTGCAAATTCCTGTGAGCCTCCAAGCCTGCCGTGATGTCAACGATGAATGCGCCTCTCCTCCTCCTTGTACATCTCTGCAGAGCTTGGGGCTCCACTGGTGAGCGGGTTGGAATAGTTGGAACAGCCCATCTGCACTTCAACATCCTCCTGATTCTCCTGTGGGTATGGGGGTGGCCACTGTGAGCCGAGATGTAAAGATGATTGTAAATTCATTTGGAGATTAAACTGAAAAAACTGGCCATCTTAAAAATGCAAGGCGTGCGTTCTTTGTATTTCTACAGCTGGACCTTGAAGTTTAGGAACACTTTTAAAAAATGCGTTCGGTACCTCGGAATTTTCAGAAATTTTACTACAATATTAGTAGTAATATAAGTCAAAATATTGGAAGAACACAATAAGCATTCATGCAGGAATCGCATACGCATCAGCCAGAACTCGTGACACTGGCAGATTAGTGCTGCGTTTTCAGTCATCAGTTATCAGTGGGGAGGACAGCAGATGGTGTGTAACTAAGTGAAAGTGGATTTAAAACTATGAACAGGAGTCACTTTTTTATATGCAGGGCCTTGCGGGTCCAGAACCTGTTGTTGCAGCCGATATCCTGGCTTCTTCCATGGAATGCCTGGATGAGATCCTTGGATTAATTATCTACTAAACAACCAATCAGGCTAGATGTGCTGAATTGCCTCCTCTCGTTTATAACCTTTGTGTTGTTCAGATGTTAAAAATCCAAACCATTTGATCCTCACCATCCAAGCTGGCAGCCCATGGTAATACATCTGGCCGGTGCAGATGAACTGGTACAGAGGCATGTAAGGGATGGAGTTGAAATCCCCACACAGAATGACTGGACACTGTACTCCTTCCTCTCGCCAGGGCTTCAGTGCCCGGTCAATTTCGGCTAGCAGCAGTGCCAGCTGTGCCAGTTTGACGTCGCCTCTCATGGGGTTGTACAAAAGGTGAGTGTTGGCGATGCAAAGGGGTGGGGCCTTTGACCTCTGACCCCACACCTCTGACCCCTCTGGGGTCACCGGCTGCAAGAGTGTCACCACTCCCACATTGTCACGATCGAGGAGCTCCACCTCCGGCCGGTAGAACTCCACCAGGCTGCACGACACTTTGCGGAACCTGGCCGGTTTGTAACAGATAGCACAGCCATCTGTCTTCCTGCCAGTGCGGCGCTTGTAAACGCACGAGTAACCTGGAAGACACAAGAAGGAAGATCTGAAGGTAGACATCGCCTGAAATTGACTTTAGAACTAATAATAATATCTTTGCACTTATATAGTGCATTTCTAGACACTAAACTCAAAGCACTTTACAGATGAACAGGGACTTGCCTCCACTATCACTAGTGTATAGACCCCCACCTGGATGATGTGACGGCAGCCATAGTGGACCAGTACACTCACCACACACCAGCTATCAGTGGGGAGGAGAGCAGAGTGATGAAGCCAGTTCATAGATGGGGATTATCAGGAGGCCATGATTGGTAAAGACTAGGGGGAAATTTGGCCTGGGCACTAGGGTTAACTCCCCTCGTCTTTTCAAGAAACACCCTGGGTATAGTGTACCCGGCACAATACTGGGCCATCAGGACCCACACAGAGGTGAGCACCCCCTTCTGGTCCCACTAACTTTCAGCAACAACCATAGTTTTCCCAGGAGGTCTCCCGTCCAGGTACTGGCCAGGCTCACACCTGCCTAGCTTCAGTCAGTTGCCAGTTGTGAGTTGCAGTTTGATATAGCAGCTGACTATAACAAGACTGGGTTTGGCAGACATCTTCTTGAACATGCTTACTTATAAGATATGTTATATGTCGTGACCGGCAGATACTATCTCATAAATAGGTTCCTACTTCTACAGCTCCCCATGCAAAACTGGAAGCAGATCATTCCACAGATTCCACAGAAGCAACCTCCCGATTGCATGATCCGAGTGAGACAACGTAAGCTCATCCATACCCATGACTGACAGGACAGGCTCAAGCTGCTCCCAAAAGTGATTCTCCTGAACTTCCTGGAGGCACAAAATCTGAGTAACAGAAGTAAAAATGAGAAAATAAAACAGCACCCTGTGGCTGGTCAAGAATATTTCAAAAGGCAAGAAAAGAATTAGAGAATAACAAAGGCAAAGTCCAGCCTTAACCTGGAATTTCAAACTACGGGTTACAAATGCTTCCCCATAAACAGTTAAAAGTCAAACAGGCCGGGTTAACTCCTTGGTGTAATGTACCAGGTCAGTTAGGTTGAACTCACATCTGGTTGCCATGTCTGGAACTCCTGTAGGATGTTCCGCAATCGGAATTCCCAAGCAAGGACCTCCGGAAAGCAGTGTGCGTAGAGGTCGGGGTTGGCCACCAGCAGGTCCTGGGATAAGAGGTTGTAGGACATGACTGTGAATTCGAACGGCTCCGTGGTGGCAGGGCTGGACCCCTGGGGAGCGCATGTCCGAGAGTGCAACCCAGACAGATCCTCCCACACTCTCCCCACCTCTGCAAAACGAGCGTCTCGTTACCAAAGCCATCCACAGACCAGGAGAAATCCCGCCGCGCAAAACCGTGAAGCTTTCCTCCTCACCTTCTACAGGTGCCGTCTCCATGCGTGGGTAGTAACTCATGCCCTGAACCTGCCAGGGGGGATAACACTGCTCTTCCTCCGGCCCCGGCCAGGAACAGGAACTCCATCCTTCCTGAAGACGGTCCGCCGCGATCCCCCAGCTCTGAGCGTCTGCCTCACCCAGAAGCATTCCCAAATCCAGGGCCGTGCTGGGATTCTGCGCTGGCTGCTCGCCGGGGTGTGCCCGATCACACTCTGCCCACCTGAGAAAACGCTCCCCCCAGACCGGCGCATCGCCCTGAGCCACCAATTCCTGCTGGCTTCCTTGGCCAGGCCATTGGACCCCTGTCCCTGCACAGCCCCCCCGCTGAGAAGCGCTCTCCGCGCCGAGCCGCTGCTCCAGCAGGGCATTCTGCTCCTGAGGAAGAGTCTCCAGCTGCAGCCCTCCCCCGACTGAGGTCTCCTTTTCGGTCATTGGGAGAGAGGGCGCTCCTCCTCTGTCCAAGTCATCGTGCTCTGGTTTGCGACCTGCCAGTCATAAGACAATTGGCAAATTGGGTGAAGCTCACGTGTGATGTTACGTACAGAAATTGCAAGGATATGCATTTGGAGAAGAGTCGGGGGGGGCATGACTTTACGCGAAGGGTGGTGGGTGTCTCAGACCAGCCGCCCAGTTATGTTCTAAGGTCTATACCCCGGGATCGTTTCAGAAATGACTTAAACTTCTGAGCAATAAGCAACTAGGTCCTGTCGGCTGTGACCTTATGTATCTTAGGATATGCTTTTGCTTTATTGTTTTGAGATTTAAAAAGATAACATTTTGCTGGCAACTTCAGAAACTCTCTCGGGCATCTGCAGCTGAAGACAACAGTTATCCCCCCTCAAAAAAATACATGCTTATATGTTCTCTCTTAAATATGCTGTTTCCAGTTTGTGGCCTTTTTAACATTAACATACAAATCTGCGGATACAGAACTGTCAGCTGAAAATGCTCCAATAGAGTTACTGGATCTCTGAATCCGAAATGTATTTTCGGAAATCAGATCATAATGAACACTTTAGCTATCAGGGTACGGAATATGTTGTTTTTAATTGCTGAAGGTGTGGTTTATACTTTATTGTTTACTGCTTCTGATCATCGCAGCGCAGTACTTGCTGTAAATCGTGCTTTTGTATTACTACCAGAAAACAATTATTTAAAATGCTAACTGTCGCTATGGCGAGTTTGAAAAGCAAATTACAAACGCAGCACTTTGTACCTGCTGTGTGATTTAATAACATTACATTTCCACATCAGGGAAGGCAAACTGCTAATTGTGAGCCGCAAATACACTAAGGCCTGTTCACTGAGAGAAAAGAGAAAACTAGGTGTTTACCTGCAAACTTGCGTAGTAAACGTGATATTGGCAGAAGAACAAAACACATGAGAAACGCAATCATGCTCCACACTGCCTCCCTCACGTGTTTCCTGTGGCTGTTTAAACTTTATTTACACCGACGCCAGTCGAAATCCGCAGTTCAAGATGAGCCTCTTCTGAGCTGCAGTCTGATGCAAGATATTCGTTGTTGCTTACCGCATAGAGTCCACTGAGATTACGACTTGTACCAAACGTTCCCAGACCCTTGGAAAATTTTCAGTTTGTGATTTTTAAGGGCAAGAAACTGTACTCCCTGCGCTATTGGTATTTGTAGCAGTCGTATAGTCGAGAAGGCAGCGTCGTATAGCCCTTAAACGTTAATGGAGTTTACCACTGAAACACTGATAGGAAAATACTGAAATCGCAGGTTGTCAGTTCCCAGAGCCGTTATTTGAAGTACATTCACATTACTCTATAGTTGCACATACAGTAGTACTTGACACGGAAATCGTTGCCTCCAATAAAACAAAAACGAGACATCGTAAAAGCAAAAAAGATAATTTTACGAAGTATAAAGAAGCATTGTGGTATTTACAATACACTAGATCTGCGGTATTGTGGTAGAAAATTCTTGCGGGTTCTTGCAGTGTGTTTGGGATCTTTTCTTTGAATCTAACCCTGCAAGAGATTTTCAGGGTATAATACAGCCAATACTAAAGCACTCTTCGGCAAACCGATAGCAGGGCGCTAAAGAAATATCCTGCAGGATTGCTCTTTTAGGGGGGTGAACATACTATGATCAAGCAAATGTTGTGCCCCGCGTACCGTATATTCCTGCTGACTGCTTATGAATCATTTCGATAAAATAAAACAATGTCACTGTTAAAACGTAAACTTTGCAATACTTTACAATAAAAAAAACATTGCATTTAGCGATAATATAGTAAAAACAGCTGATATGTAGAATTCAACATAATTCCTGGAAAGTTTCAAACAAAACAAATGACATAATACGCGATGTTCATATTGCTCTTGAAAGTAAAACACATGTCAAAACAATGCTTTTATTTGATTTCGAATTTTGACAGCTGTTACCATGGAAAGGGGTGATTCGGTTCTGAATGAAACAATGATCACTAACAGAATGCTGGGAATATTATTGTCACAGCTGAAAGATCGTGTACTGTACCTCTGTCTTCTGTCTGCACAAGATTGAGCCCAATGCTAGAGAAATAAGGTATCATTAGCCCCGTAAGAGTGTTATAATGGAAACATGCATCGATACATTTAATGATATTATTACATTTTACGATGTTGTTTGTTCAACCAACAGGTCTTTTAGAGTTACTGTAACACACAATAACAAACTTCAGGAATACGTTCTATGAGTGAATATGTCTTTTATCACATCAGACTAAGGTTCAACAGTAAAACCTGGCACAATCTAATAAAATACAATTAAATAAAGGTTAATATACTACTTTTTAAAGAACACACATGCATTGCATGTAGCTTTGTTTGCATTTAGTCTCTGCCTTTGCTAACAAATTATTTATCGCCAAGTGCCTCCTAAGGGTTCCTGTTACATTTTTGTACAGGCTACAGTTTCACTTTGGCTGTACAGTTATCAACAATGCCTGTAGTTATATTTACTGGAACTCCTAGCAAGTGAAGTTGGACATAGAAAAAAGCTTTAAAATGGTGCTGGATGTCTTTGTTTCTTATCATCACATCTAGCTCCTTAATTAAAGTGTATCCTTCATCGAATACAACATATAGCCCAGAATTTGAGGTAAGCATAAAACATCAATGATCTACTTACTACAGAATGGGCTGGATGGGCTGATTTACTCCTGTTCTTGTTTGTAAACTTTCTAATGTTCTTACCGAGTGATAATTGACTCACTGTACATGCCAGAAATACAACAACTGTTAACCTGATGAACAAGACAGAATGGTTTACTGATAGAAATATAAACCTAAAGCCTGCAGAAATTCATTCCTGTTTAATCTTGCACACAGCATTCAAAAAGAAGGCCACTTTAAAATTACAATGAGGTTTGTTTTGTAGCTGCTGTCAGCTGTGAAGGGGTTGAGATGGCTCAGTCCAGCCTGTCTGTGGAGTCCCTCTGTCTAGAGACACAGAATGGCAGCCCTGCAACGGACCCAGACAGTGGAGATGAGTGGGACACTGACCTTGAGCTCAACGGTAAATCACCTTGCTTGAATTACAACATTCACTCTAGATCTATGAAAATGCGGAACTCACAATGTGCCTATACTGTATATAGAGCGAGTCAGTAACTTGTATTTCCTTTTCTTTTCAAGGGTTTTAACTGTCTATTTATCTGTTAGCTTTGCTAAAGAGTGTCAGTGTTTTTGGCATTGCTAATGTATGAATTTCGCAAGTTAAATTTAAAGGAAATCAAAAGGACGTGTGAGGCACACTTTTCTCAAATCTGGAGGAGCATGGATGGTGTTGCCCTGTTCTTAAAAATGCAGCTGGAAATCATTTAGATGGTCTGAAAGACTCAGGTGCCAGGGTGAATATCATGTAGTTTTCATTGCCGGTGAACAATATTCTCATTCGTTTTGTTAGATATTAACATTTAACGTAGAAGTCATGTATCTTTTTCCCTCAGACGGTAAGGAGACTAGAAGAAGTGTCTCTGCTCGTGAGCTCTACCTGCAGGCCTGCAGGCTGGTTGGTGTCGTGCCAGTCTCTTATTTTCTGCGTAACCTTGGAAACACAAACCTCAACCTTAACCACCATGGGCTTGGGCCTCAGGGAGCCCAGGCCCTGGCAATAGCACTTGTGGTAACTATCTCTATTCTTATAACTTACTAATACCATGGCCAACCTGGCAGGCTGCAGGGGTGGCAGTGTCTGCCTGCCTGATAATTGTTTCTCTGGTTTTAATTTTTAGCAAAGCATCCTCTTCTGCAAATCTATTTTTTGTGTGTGTGTGTGTCTGTGTATGTAGAGCAACATGACGATCATAACCCTTGAACTGGAAGACAACTGTTTGTTTGCAGAGGGAACAAAATATCTGGCAGAGATGATCAAAGGAAGCTGCACTATTCAGAATCTGGTGAGCAGCAGACTGTGCATCAGATAGCACTCAGAGTAGCGCGTTCACGATTTACAGGAAAAACACAATCATCAGGCTGTTTCGGGAAGCGATGAGATGGTAGTGCAATGAAAGAACCTTTCTGCCCCGATCATACAGTTATTTGCGATTTGTTCTTTGAATTTAAAATTGTAGTGCAACACGTGTAGGAATGGATTTGTAATGTGAGCTCTTTTGAAAAGGAATTTATGTAGACGGCCACTAGAGAGCACTGTATTCTTGAAACCCCCTGCCTTCCACGCCTGAACAAAATTGCTTTGAAACCTAAAATAACATTAATTTATTTGTGTGACAGAATCTTTCCAATAACCACCTGAAGTCCGCAGGCGCTATCTACATGTCCAAAATGTTGTTGGACAATATCTCCCTCAGAACCATAAAACTCTCAGGTATATATACCCATCTCCGTTCACTTTTTACAGGCAATATGTTGTTTGGATTTTGGTTCATTCAGCTGGTTCATTCTAGACTTCCATCCAGATGTTTTAGATTTGGTATAGAGGTTCAGCACACCCAATACAGAATCACTTTGTATAGGAACTTTCATTCAGTAATATCAAGGGAAGCACAGTAAGGCCGTGGTTAGTAGTCCTGCCTCGGAGCTCTTGTGTCCTGAGTTTGATTCAGGCTTGAGGTATCTTCCACGTGGAGTTTGCGTGTTCCCATCGTGAGTTTTCTCTGAGTCCTCTGGTTTCCTCCCACGTTCTGAAGATATGCTGTCCAGGTCAATACGATAGATTGGTGTCCTGACCTGTATTTGTTTGTGTGCCCTGTGATAAACTAGTGTCCACTCCTGTGTGTTTGCCCTGTGATACACTAGTGTCCACTCCCGTGTGTGAACCCTGTGATACACTGGTGTCCTGTTCTATGTGTGCACTGTGATATACTTGTGTCTTGTTGATGTAGTAAGATAGTAGCGTTACAGTAAAATACAATTATTTAAAAACAGATTCTATACCCCATGAGCTTACTGGAATTCTTACCTTTTAACTTTCACCAGTTATAACAATATTATACTGTACAATGGAAAACAAAATGTATTTAGCCTCAATAAGTTGTACTTGCCTTTCTTTTTAAAATGCTTCAATAACGATGATTTCTGTTGATTGTTTAAACAGGAAATGAGTTCAGAGAAGAAGATGCAAAATGTTTTACAGATGCCTTGTCTGTAAGTCGCAAACAAAAACTATTTAATAGAAAAAATTGTACCTATTATAAAAGCGTTTTTGTTCATGATACAGCACACTGGATAATATGTGTCTTATTCTCAATCCAGTACTTTTTCTTCTCTTTCTCTGCCAGAACAATTACAGAGTGAAGGAGCTAGACTTGAGCCACAACGAGTTCAGTGAGAAGGGAGGGGAGCACTTGGGCCAGATGCTAGGTATGGAGATCACTGTATCAGAAACACATTGCTTAGGTTTAGAATGCACAGCCACATCTGGACACTGGAACTACCAACATTATGAAATAGCTCAGTCAACAAAGGTTTTAGGAAGCAATGGGTATTTCAGTTGTTGTTGTTGCTGAATTTACTGTAGAATGGACCAGTGATAGAAACTCAATCAAGAATCAGAATGCAATGATATTCACTTTATTTCAATTATAAACAGAAAGATGCTTTTTAAAATGTTGATTTGTTGTTTGATTTTTGCTTTCAAACAACTATAGCAAACAATGAAGGATTGGAGATGCTGAACCTGAGCTGGAATCGTCTGCGTATGAAGGGCGCAGTGGCACTGTGTGCAGGGCTCAAGGTGTGCATTATTCCTGCTGCAGCTTCTCTCAAGCTCAGAGTGTGCCTGACTCCTGCTGCAGCTTTTCTCAAGCTCAGAGTGTGCCTGACTCCTGCTGCAGCTTCTCTCAAGCTCAGGGTGTGCCTGACTCCTGCTGCAGCTTCTCTCAAGCTCAGGGTGTGCCTGACTCCTGCTGCAGCTTCTCTCAAACTCAGGGTGTGCATGACCTCTACTGCAGCTTCTCTCAATCTCAGAGAGACATAATGCAGGCTTCTGTATTTTTTGGATATATTAAATGAGGTGAAGAATGCAAAACAACCAAAATCTTATCTGCTACTTCTCCCAAAAGCCAGTTTTCAAATTCTCATTTCAAATTATTGTCCTAAACATAACTTGTCAGAAATGTCTGGAAAATTAATCGGTTTAACATGTGTGAACTATACTGTTGTTCTATATGGATAACAATGAATTCAGTTGCACAGTGAAATAATGTCACAGATTAAAACTATTATATTAAATACTCCAGTTTCTGTACAGCAACTTATGAAGAGAAAATTACAAAAAATGAAAAGGTCCTATGTAAAACATTCACTCCATAACATTTTGAGAAGACTGGGACATAGGTGGCTAAAATTCTGTGGTTAAGGGCAGCACAGCAAACAGCTTTGTTTTTCTCCTCAGGTCAACATCACACTGAAATACTTGGATCTGTCCTGGAACGGCTTTGGGAATGAGGGGGCTCTTGCTCTGGGGGAGGCTCTAAAATTCAACAACACCCTACTGCACCTGGACCTCAGCAACAACCGGATCACCAACGAGGGCGTCGGCCTGCTCTGTAAAGGGCTGGTGGCTAACGACACACTGAAAGTGCTCAGGGTCAGTTGCCAATGTATTGCCTCCATTTATTTACCCAGGAGGGGAATTTGGACTGTATGCCTAAGGGATGAACATGGAAATCATGTTAAAAAAACAGAACATCTGAAGTGTGACCACATATTGATTTTTAATAACTTTTAAAATGCAAATTGCAGGAAAGGGTTCAGAGATGATTTGTGTCTGAGCTCAATTCAGTGACGGTGCCATATTTAATCTGGTTAGTGTCACAGCAGGATGAAAAAACAAATATTGTCATTAGGACAAGGACATTAGGTTCATTAGTGTAGCCATGCGTTGGTCAGGAACCTATGCAGACGGTTTAATCCGGAAGGAAATGAAACAGACACGGGGTGGAGACGAGGAGGAACTGGACAGGTTGACAAACAGGGGGGCGTAACACCTGTGCAGTGGTGCTCGGGGTGGGTGTGGCCATGGCAAACAAGTCCAGAGGAGTTCAGGGGGTGATCCAGTGAGAAGTCCAAAAGTCCAGGCCGGGTGATCCATCCAAGACAAATACAAGACAAGGTTTAAAAACCGATCTGGATCCGGTTCAGGGACGGGGAATAAAAGTGGGTTAACGGGGCCAGGTGCTCTGAGCCCTAGACCCAGATGGTCAGGACGCCGTGATGGAGCCTATGCCGTCGGGCCACTCCAGGAGGAGGGGCTGGATAGGAGGCAGGCAGACATAATCAATTAAAATGTGAAAGATCCGGAGCGCCCTTAAGAGGAGGGATTACAATCGTGACAATTAGGACTTGAAGTTTTTCTTTTAAGGGTTGGTTGATAAAAACATACAAAGAAATATTTTCCCTTTTTATATCTTTTGTGGTTTTGCAGTCCAGGCAAGCACTTATATAAACAAAAAAAAAAGTGTTCCTAGACAGATCAGCAAAGCAACAGACACAATTTCCTTAAGCAATGTAAGCTTGATTTCAAATCACCAGTTTTTGAATGAACATTCTTGCAGACAGGGATCAGAGACAGAGAAATTAACTTAGCTGGAGAGATAAGCTCCAATGTGTGAATGCTGTGAAATAATGTTGCTCCCCAGATGGCCTACAATTCTCTCACTGTTGAGGGAGCGCTGGCCCTGGTCACTGCAGTGAAGAACACCCCCAAATCTGCGCTGGAGGAGATCAATATCTCGGTGAGTTAACATGAAGGTAGTAAGTAAGCTGGTGGCAGTGCTGTAGCATCTTGGCCACAATTCTTTTGCAGCCAAACAACAAATTTACTCTTCTTACTCATTCGGAATTTATGAGTCAGAAAAAACAGACACTATTGTTTAAGTACTGTATTATTTCATTAAAGAATAATATATTCTCTATATTTAGTTTTTTACTTTTTTATTTTGCAGTAGAAAAAGATCTACAGTTATACAGAGTATATGTAATATTCCAATTACATCAACTTCTTTTTTTTAATTCTAAAGCCATTTAAAGCCATTTTATGATTGTGCCAATAAACTTAAGAAAACACATTTTAATGGGGTTTTATGGCACAAGGATTGAGCTCAAAGCAGATACAAAGCTGTTTGAAGTAAAGTACTTAAATATCTGAAGATGTTTTCTGAATGCAGTCTGACAGAAGTTGTTAATTTACATAGATCATTTAAGAAGAGCCTGGCTCCAAATGACTAGAATTGCACTGGTATAATCGTCCTCACATCCTCTGACAATGCTTTGTGTGTTCAGAATGTGCTGGTGAATGAGGCCTTCCTGCACCTGCTGGAGCTGACCTGTCAGGAACACCAGGCCCTGGAGGTGCTCTATGGGGGCGTTGGGGGTTTCATTGCCAAGAAGCTACCTCGGCGCCCAGACCCCATGAAAGTTATTCAGGTGCATTGAGCTCATACTCACTGACAGGATGACAGCCACGCGGTCACGGTCTGTGTCCTGTTTGTTTCATGCCCTTGCTGTTTTCTGTAGGATTACCTGGATGAACGTAAGCTGCGCCTCTGGGATTTCTTCCGCAACATCGACAAAGACGGATCAATGAGAGTGCCCGTCTCTGACTTCAGAAAGGCTGTACAGGTCTGATTCCACTTTGAGATTCCCAGAGCTCTTTCTAAGGACAGCCTCTGGCACTGCTCTGTCTATGAAGCATTTGGTGTTTGGCTTCACCTGGTGTGACTGTTTGAAATATCCAATGTGACATCCAGGACCAGGTGCCTTGCTCTGTATTCAGCGCTTTGATGTCAGCATCCTGTATTTTCATAATGTGAGGAGCTCATCGGTGTTACAGGGGCTACACTAATTACACCTTTACTACAGTTATCTATTGTAACTCTGAATATCCTGTCTATTTATGATTTGAAATGTCTGGGAAGGAGCTACTGTACATACAGTATGAGCTATCTACTGTATTTCTGCTCATCTTTTTCCAGATACTGTGAAGAGATGGAAGCCTGGCAGGCAGGCAGACATTCTTTTTGAATTGTCTTACTGTATATATTTTGGGGTGTCACCTTTGTGAATATTTTTCTCAATATTTTAGCAATCCAGTATTCCACTAGATCGATTTCAGATTGAGGAGCTGGTGCAGAGACTGGACAAGGACAGGAGTGGGAATGTAGACTACAGGTGAGTGTTCCTCAACCTCATACAGTATGTGGATTAAAAAAAAAACTGCCTGAAGGAGCATTAATCGTCTGATGACATCGAAGTAAATAATAAGCTGATCATAACAGCAGATAAGAACTTCCCTGAAAGAGACCTCGGTTTTTCTGCAAACATTTCAAAGAGTAGTTACTTCGCTGATTAAGCAGAATACTTTGAAAAGCTTTAATAAGGAAACCTTCCCCAAACCTTTCTCTTGCCACTTCTCAAATGACCCTCTGCTTGTGTTTTTCCTTTCGATTAGTTTCCTTATCCAGCCATAGTCAGCAGGAGAAAGACGGGCAGCAGTTCAGTAGATGTCCGTTCCAGCAACTAATTGTCTTCAGGAGAGGAAAGGGCAGAGGCAGATCAGTAGAATCTCAAGGGCTCCAATAAAGGTTCAGTGAAACATGGCTGGGCTCAGTGTGCTTCGACTCCCATCTCTGGTCTCCTAGCACTCTTCTTACCTTTGTTGTGTTAAATATGTTCCCTCACCACATTCCCCAGAGGTACCTATGTACACAGGTGTTTAGAAATGCAGAAGGAAAAGCTGCAGGAAAGGGACCTGAGAGTAACAAAATAATAAAAGGCACAAGAAAGCATGACATCCTTTTGCCTAAAAGCAAGCACTTCTGTATTAGATCTTGTCCATTTATCTTCAGGTTTAGTTGGTAAGAGAACAGTGTCTGAGTAGTATATTAAGATGGCATAGATAATCTGGGGCAGAGCTGGGAGAAAGATGAGTACTGCAAGGCCTGGCTTTGCACGAGTCACACTGCTCTTGCTTCCTGGAACCTGCTGCTCTGCTCCCTTTGCATCTCACTTGCTCTCTTCCCATGACCGCTTGCTGCTCAGGGGCCTCGCCGACACCCGGAAGCAGATGATGAGAGATCACCGCCGGCTGCTTCGGAAGGCGGAGTCCCGCCAGAAGAAGGAGAAACAGAAAAGCGAGCGCATCCTGAAGACCTTCCAGAGTGCGGTGGAGGCCGTCACCCCCCGCAGCTCCATGGTGATCTCACCAGGGGGCGCCAAGGAGGGGGAGGAGTCCGGTGGGCCTCAGCACTTCTCGGCCACCCCTCTCAGCTCCTGGCACCACGCGGTGATGACAAACAGCAGTCGCTACTCGGCGCACGACACGGACAGCGACCGCGTCCGTCTCCCGCGCATCGGGAGCCAGGCCCGCCCCCTGTTCCTCAGCACGCCGGAGGTGCGCTCCTTGTCCCAGCCCAACCTCCTCTCCGAAAGCAGTGGGTCCCCCCTGCCCAAGCCGGACTCGGCCCACCGCGGCCCTCACTGCAGCTCCAACCCCGAGGTGTTTTCTCACAAGCTCAACTCTGGATCAAACAGCTTGACCAGGTCCAGACCAGCGCTGACGTCTCCCAGGAACCCAGCTTCAAAACGTCCCAAAAAGAAGTCCACAGAATGAGCACAATTTACAATGCCTTTATTTCTTTTTAACCAAGAACAAAAACGAATGCGATATGTTTTGAATATTTTTTTTCTGTCTACTGTATATATGTCCAATGGAGCACAAAGATGTTGCTGAATTTGTGATCCCCAGAATTGGTAAATTATTACACTGACAATTAACATAAAAGCTGATGACTAGGGTGGAAATATTTTCCACCAAAACAAACAAAAAACACTCCCCCAATGTCTCTTTTTACAAGAGTTTCAATACTGAGATTCAATCTTAAGAAAACAATTCTACAATAAGAGTTTAAGAAAGGTGACAAATGAGAGGAGGCCATTCACTGGAGGCTTATTACCTGCATTGTGTCCATATACTGTAGATGTTACAACCAAAGGCTGCTGGAACTCTTCAGGCTGATAAGTGTAACTCTAACACACTTACATACTTTGGCACCTGCAATCATATTACATATATGTCATGATAAATCTTCAAAGTGGTTATCACATCTTGCAGTAGAAATGATTGAATCTTGACATTTGCCTCATAAAGACTTTCACTTCGCTAAAATTGTCGAATGTTGAGATTTTGTCATTTTTGTCTCCTCTGTCATGCATTGATTTGCACACTATTTCTGCATGACTCTTTGCCTGTGACTAAGAAAAGAAATGGATAAAATTATTTATTTTATTATTATTGATAAAATTATATTCTTGATAAAAGAATAGCATCAACGTGATTTTCATCATTTAGACATATGGTTTTTATAAATTATGTAGTTTTCTGGTGCCACATTCGAACATTAAAAGGTTCTCAGTTTTAAATGTGCTTCTTCATGGTTTCAGCTTGTGTCCTCTGGCTCATGTTACAGTGCTGATTCTGAAGACGTCTATTAAGTTGACTTCTGAGGATTTCGAATATGTGAATCTCATTGCCTTTTCTGTTCAGGACTAAAAAGATGCAGGTCCTTTAGTCTGCCTATGATATCCCTTTATATGTACAGTATTAGGTTGCTGATTCTAGAGCAGCAATGTCTTTCATTCTGTACCCAAAGTCTTACTTGGGAATTTTTCACATAACATATCCTGATTTACATTCTGTATTTTTAACTATACTTAATTGTACTTTATTTTGTAAAGCTCTTGATCTTACAGATGTTCACCGATTTGTGCATCATAGAAGAAAGTTCAAACAAGCCCCAAAACAGGTGTTAATCACCCATGGCTGTACATTTTATTGTCATTTTATTGGACTACAGATTTGACCTAATGTATTGTATATAGATACGGAATATTACAGTGATAATCCTGAGAACGCAAAAGATGTTGCTGTTATCAAAGGTAAGATAAGGGATTTAAAAGGCTCAGGATTCAAACACAAATCATAGACCC